TAACTTACGATTTTTTAAAGTTATTATTTCCATATTGTTTAGGTAATTGGTAAGACCTCATCTAAGAGGTTAATTTGGCTGTTATTAAATATAATTTCAACAATGTCCAAATATATTATAATATTTGTGTCATTAAAAGTTATCTAATTGAGAGTGAGACTTCACTTGGTGTTGTTTTACTTGTATCTTCTCATTGTTATTTAGGACTGCAATAGATCAATCTCTTCTTGACGTATGTGCGGGTTGCCTCGATATAGCCTTAAGTTGCAAGCCTTTCAAGCAAAGATGAATAATAGCTGGCAGTGGGATGCAGGACGATTCCCAAATAGGATGAAACGTGCGATCTGGATCCCACTGCTAGCTGTTATCCATCTTTGCTTAATTGAGAGTGATTTTCGTAGTTTTAATTGGATGTTTACTTATTGGTTTAATGACAGCTGTAGGATCCACATTAAAGCATCTGGTGATAAGAATGTAAAATTTAGACCTATTGCAATAACTTCACCCTTCCTCAAAACAATGGAAAAATTATTAATACTTTCACTTCAGCCCGGGATAAAAGAGCATATTGATCCATATCAGTTTGCTTACAGACGCAAAAGAAGCACTTTAGATGCTGTTGCTGTTCTGCATCACAACATAGTGTTCAACTTAGAAAAGGGTAAGAAGTATCTTCGATGTGCTTTTCTGGACTATACTTCAGCCTTTGATTCTATACCAAGACAACGTTTAATTAACAAGTTAATCAGCGTCAACACTGACAGATGGATAACCAACTGGCTATGTTCCTACTTCTCTGGAAGGGAACAGTACACTGTGTTCGGAGGAAAATGTTCAGAGTCTCTACTGTCTCATGAAGGTGTACCACAAGGAGCTGTCCTTTCACCTCTTCTTTTCTTTTTTTCTGGATGATCTGCCATCTTCCACAGAAAACACCTTTTTGAAATATGCAGATGATCTCACTGTATGTATACCTATCTCTTTCTCTTTACATCTCATAGAAATGAATGAGCTTTTGTCTCGTATTGATTGTTGATCTGTTGGTAATGGTCTCATACTTAATCCGTCTAAATGTCAAGCTGTTAACTTTAGCGTGAGACATGAACGGAATCTAAACACCATTTTGAGATCACATAATGCTTGCACCATCGGAGACTTTCATAAACAGTGTCGAAGGTCAATTATCTTGGTGTCAGCTTTTCCTCTGATCTGTCTTGATCTTCCCACGTTTTATTATCAAAGGTTTTCCGTCTGACCTACTACATAAAGAGATTGCATGCTCTTGGGATTACTCGTCATTTACTCTTACAATTTGCCAATTCTTGTATATTACCTATTATTCTTCACTGTTCTCCATTATTTCCCGGGTTTTTGCGGAAAGACTTTGCTGTATTGCGGAGAGTGCCGAAGGCAGTTACCAAGATGTGTTGTGAATCTTTCGAGGTCATAATTAATATGGTTGTGGATAGACATCTAAAGTCATGCAAACTCCTGGCAGCTGTTATTTTATCAGATACTAACCATCCCCTTCACTCATATCTTTCTCCTTGTATATCTTCTGGTAGAAAGAGACGGAATTGCATTAAAATCCATGCACGCAAGCAAAAGTATAAAATATGTATAATACCTTACCTAACAAATATACTCTGTGACGAACAGGATGTTAGAGTTAACCTAGTCAATAACTTGCATTCTTAACATGTCCTTAATTTTAAAAATTGTACAATTTTTTTTAAAAAAACTTTTTCATTTTTTTGTATTTGTTAGTTTTTGTTGTTGTTGCGTAAGTGACTTGTTGAAATAACCTGTGCTGAGAATTCTATATTGTACTAAAATATAATATTGAATAAAGCCATTAATAATAAGTTTAAATGGCTAATTGAACATAATTGCTCCCCACTATTTCTACTGTGATTCTATTATCACTGATCGCTTCAAGTGTACATAGTTACTAAGTCGCTTACCACCTATGGATTGCAATGGGTTATATATTTAATTTCCAATCATGAAAACATAATGCAGTTCATACTTACATTTATGGACCGTCTTTAGTTAAACTGCCTTTGGAAACCAGGAAGCACTAGACAGCTGTTACTGTTTAGAACTGGACTACTTAACAATGCTATCCAAGATCACACTTGGTAATAAACCTTCGTGTCTAGAATCAAACATTTGACCTTCAAACTACCGAGTAGGTATCCCATTGTTTAGATTCATAACTTCAGTCAACCCCATTAACTAACAATTATCAAGTTTTTTATCAGCGACTAAATGTGAGAAGTGATACCCAGAGTTTTAGACAGAAGCAGCAGCTAGTGAGGTCCAATCAAGTCGGACGTGAAACTAAAGGCATTGGATAATGGTCGCCTAGTTTTGCTGATTGACTTTAGTTAGAAATGTGCTTATCGTTAAACCGGAAGGTCGTGATTTTGATTCCTGATATGGTAGTGAATGAACACACAGTGGCACGAAACGGATGTCCAGTGTTCCAGAGTTTTCAATAACTATCTAACCAAAATCAGATCGTAGTGTGAAACTGCATATTTATTAAGCCCTCACACTGACAGTTCTGATTTTCTTAATAGAATGCTTGTTATTTAATGTAACATAGGAATTCATACTACATCAATTCCCTGTGAAATACATTGTATTGTAGTGACTTTATTATAACGGTTGGTTTTCTACGTTTACATTAATTTACCTTGGACGAATATCTACACTAGAATGCCCTCTCTGTGTCTATTCTACAGGACTTAAACACAACTCAGATCAACAACACGTGATTAGCCTGATCACAACGTAAATATATTTCCACACCAAACCCGACACAATCCAACAACAATGAACAATCACTAATAATAAGTGTAAGGATAGGGGAATATATAACTCATCTGACACCTGTCAAACTATCTACATGTCTGACTAAGCAGACAACCAATCATTCTCGACCACACATCACTATTCCTCATAGTAAACTGGTTTGCAACCCAGTTTAGAAAACTCAATGAACTGTTTCCATTATATGCAGTATATAAATACAACGAAAGGTTCACAAGTAAATCATCCAGCCAAGAGAACACAACACCCTCAACGTCCTTACCCTGAGCCACAAATATTTCCCTGTCATTTAGTTGTTACAGGGTACTGTATCAGTTTAGTGGAAAGGAAGAGAATGATCCGTGATGAATCTACATAGGGAAATTATAACTGATAGAAAGTTTGGGCGATAGGGGATTTTGAGTAAACAACGTTTCCTACTCAGAAAATATAATAAAACAGTACAGCCATGAGTTTCAGCAAAATATTTGATCGAAATAGATGTATTTAAACTACATGGTGCCTGTTAAGTTTATCACGGCAGTATGCAAACATCTAAGTTAAAAGCGCATCGAATTTCAGGCCTTAAATTTATCTAAAACTTACATTGTTTTCTTTAAGAATGTTTATTATAAATACTTTACTGTAAGCTGAACCCATGAAAAACACGTAGGATAAGGTGTAAGTGATATATCTGCTAGATCTTCCCTCACTACCTTTCCCAATAAAAGACGTTGGCCCATAGGATGGTCAAAGCAAATTTTATTTGGCTTACAAAATTTAATACACTTACGGACGAAAATATATATCTTTGAGATCAGTAAGCCGCTGTGTACTCACCTTAACTACCGCATCACTTGCTCCCTTAATCACCTCATGATTATACAACCTTTACTCGTTCCTCTTAACGAAAACGGCTATAATGTCGAATTTCAACCCAAACGTGTGAGTTTATGGATCTTAGTGTAAAATGTGCTAACCAGATCATAGATCCTACCAAATCACAGCCTACTGAATATTCTCCATTGTAAATACTACCACTTTCGGTAAACATCTTACTTTTTCGAAACTGGTACTTTGAACAAAAATCTTGATGCTATTAATAATGACATGGGACGAAGTTTAATGACAGGTTCATTCAGTTTCACTCAATGTTAGCCATTAATTCTGAAAGGACACTGAATTTCTACTGTTACCCTTAAGATATATATCTCATAAAGTTTGGCATAGACCCTTAGTAATGAGAAATTCCTTTTTCGCGATAAAATAACAATTATATGTAAAACAAATAGTGATTTAGCAAGGCAAAAGATAGATGGAGGATGTTATATATTTTTAAAGCATGTAGAGAAGTAATAAACCTTTAAAACTTCTTTATTAGTTAATTCTTTAGAAAACAATGATTTTTGGCAGTGCAAATTAAACTTGGGTTTCGACCAACTAATAATCATCTATAACCTGCTTACGACACCATATGAAGTTAAACTTTAGGCATAACCAATGAAACATGGCCGGCAAGAGTAGAGGATATTCGTAGGTTACTAATATTCGATCACAGGTGTCTTCGAAGCATTGCTCGTATATCCTGGGACCATCGATCAAGTGACGCAGTTGTTAGGGAACGGGTACTAGGTAACGATGACAAATCAGTTGATGAAGTCGTGAAACTTCATCAGTTGAGATGGCGAGGACACGTGTTACGTATGCCCAACCACCGACTGCCTCGACGTGCGATGTCCAATGGTATAGGAGTAGGTTGGAAGAAAGTTAGAGGCGGCCAGACCATGGCACAAGTCCATGAAGTCACTGACAAGTGGACTGAATCATGTTGGTGGGTGTAGAGTACCTGGTTGGGGACCGCGAGATGATAAGAACCGATGGTTAGAGACCCTCAAAATCGTTTGCCATGGCGCAGGTGCATTTACTCGTTTTCCCAAATTCTAAACTTCTGAATTCTCCATGTCCCTTATTTTCTTTCCAAATTTATCCTTGAATAACACATCTTCAAACCCTAATCTTTCCGATTACTGCTCATACTCTTACCACATCTACCACTGCGGGATTTGAATCGACAACTACATCTCTATGCTAATGTGGTGTGACAACTCGAACTGATGTACGTACGTACGAAGTTCTACGTTGTTACTGACTGAATGACTTTAGAAAATTTTATGTATCATGTTAGGAAATACTCAACGAAGTACGGAATTTCTCGAATCTTTCTTGATAAAATTAATTCACTAAGCACACTAAGTTCATTTTTAAGAAATTGTAATCATCATAAGCAGAGGTAAACGAAACTTATAACTTCTTGGAAATAACAATAAACATTTTTTGTACACATTTACAGTACACACATGTTACATTACAACTATACATTTTAGAAAGAGTCTATTGAGTAAAATTTGATTTAGTTGCGACAAACCAATGTTCATTTTTACCTACAAATAACAAAATGAAACAACAATCAAACAAGGAATGAAAAATACACAGTTACGGAACTATTCAACTTGACTTTTAACTGATCGGCAGATAAAGCTTAAACTGAATATTTAGTAGTGAGCCAGGTATTCTAAACATAGTACATATAAACCGACCCTTTACACTTATTCTTAACTAGCTACTATATGTAGCAAACAGTTGAAGAAAATGATCGCTGATAGGAACTCTGCATAGATTTAAAATATTTGATTATCATGTATTAATGTATCGTGTCAAGAATGTCATTAACAGGCTAGCTTTTCTTTTAAGGGTTAAGTACAGAATGTGGCGATGTGTTGGGTAACTGTGAAAAATGAGACGATTCTCTCAATATGTGTAGTCGTTTGTATGATTTAATTAAGAAGTAATCAATAGTTATGTTAGTACCCAGATATTATTGAAGGAAGATGCATTCAGCTTGAAATTTAATTAATGAAAGCTAAAAAAGTTCAGTAATTAAATACTATTATACACGATTCTGATTTGAACTGAAAGTTGATTAGACCAAAAGGCGACACGATCCTTGAAATAATTCACTGTTTATCTAAATGAGATGAATTGCGGGTGGTTAGGTTAATATATACAAGATTCCAGAAGTCCGCAGCTCGTAGCTTAACATAACAGTATTCGGAATCTATTATACTTGTACACACTCATTTATTCTCTTTATTTGATATTTCTAAAAGTCTGTGATGGAAGGTGTTGTAACGTGTGTGGGTGACTGCAGGTTATTGATAAGCAGCGTTATATCGATCGATCGGTTACAGTGACACGTAAATACGTACGAACGACCTAGTGCCCTGCCCCCCTGTCTACCTCAACCAGTTGAGTCCAGAACGAAAGTCACAGCCTTTGAGATATGAATCATTATATTTCAAACACACTCTGTTTATATACTAACCAAGCATACCACATCATACCATAAAAATAGGAAACAACATTTACACAATATTAAACAACTGAAGCAAATATCGACCAATAGGAAATGTACATTTAACGTCCAAGGACACCATTCGACTTGACACGATAATTATTGGCATATTCCTCTGCATACCTAACACCTCCCCCTCTTTTTTGAGGATCCGGAGTTGATATCCGGATTTTAAAATTTTCTGCGTCCGTCCTCCCCCGCGGAATAATGTTGGGTCCTCATGTACCCAAGTACCAGTTAGTTTGATTCTATTTAAAGCATATTTCGCGCATTGAGTAGAGGGATCACTAAAACTGACTAGATGATGAGGATTAGCGACACCAGACATGAGGTCATTAAGGTTTGATTCTTGTGAAACATATTCACCAGAACTCTTCAAGATTCCATCAATGGATAATAGGTCACTGGAATAAACAGCATCCTTGAAATTTGTATTAGATTCCTGACCATTATTTGATGCATGATACACATTTTCTGGCACGAGGAGTTCTTCTTGTGAGCTGTATACCTCACATGTTTCGGGCACCGTGGGATTTGAACCCACGACAGGGCATGCTTCTGAACTGGACATTTCTGAATCGCTGGACGGATCATTAGCGACTGCCTCGTTTGCATTACTGCTCGTTAGGGATTCATAGAGGCTTTTGTTTTCATATTCATACCTCCTGCAGTCATTTTCGAGTTCAGTATGCAGCTGAGAAATTAATTCATCAATTTCTTTCACATCTCCAAAACACGGGAGATTTAGCAGTCGCGTGCGTAAATTGTCCAAAACATTCAACTGGCACTGTCTGAAACGCTGCTGCTGGCGGTCAAGTAGTAGCTGCAATTGATCGGGAAGTATAGTCATTTTCTGAGACAGCAGGGTAATAAGAAATACTGTGACCAATTAACAACAAATGACTTCCAAGAACACTGATAATAAATTCGGACGCTGATTGGTCAAAATAATTAGGCTGAATCTCGTCCAATTAGAGGGTTCAAAATTTTCTCTACCCCGTCGCCAATTGTTGTAACGGGTGTGTGCCTGACTGCAGGTTATTGATACGCAGCAGCGTTTATATCGATCGACCGGTTACAATGACACACACGTTACAACAATTGGCGACGGGGTAGAGAAAATTCTGAACCCTCTAATTGGACGAGATTCAGCCTAATTATTTTGACCAATCAGCGTCCGAATTTATTATCAGTGTTCTTGGAAGTCATTTGTTGTTAATTGGTCACAGTATTTCTTATTACCCTGCTGTCTCAGAAAATGACTATACTTCCCGATCAATTGCAGCTACTACTTGACCGCCAGCAGCAGCGTTTCAGACAGTGCCAGTTGAATGTTTTGGACAATTTACGCACGCGACTGCTAAATCTCCCGTGTTTTGGAGATGTGAAAGAAATTGATGAATTAATTTCTCAGCTGCATACTGAACTCGAAAATGACTGCAGGAGGTATGAATATGAAAACAAAAGCCTCTATGAATCCCTAACGAGCAGTAATGCAAACGAGGCAGTCGCTAATGATCCGTCCAGCGATTCAGAAATGTCCAGTTCAGAAGCATGCCCTGTCGTGGGTTCAAATCCCACGGTGCCCGAAACATGTGAGGTATACAGCTCACAAGAAGAACTCCTCGTGCCAGAAAATGTGTATCATGCATCAAATAATGGTCAGGAATCTAATACAAATTTCAAGGATGCTGTTTATTCCAGTGACCTATTATCCATTGATGGAATCTTGAGGAGTTCTGGTGAATATGTTTCACAAGAATCAAACCTTAATGACCTCATGTCTGGTGTCGCTAATCCTCATCATCTAGTCAGTTTTAGTGATCCCTCTACTCAATGCGCGAAATATGCTTTAAATAGAATCAGACTAACTGTTACTTGGGTACATGAGGACCCAACATTATTCCGCGGGGGAGGACGGACGCAGAAAATTTTAAAATCCGGATATCAACTCCGGATCCTCAAAAAAGAGGGGGAGGTGTTAGGTATGCAGAGGAATATGCCAATAATTATCGTGTCAAGTCGAATGGTGTCCTTGGACGTCAAATGTACATTTCCTATTGGTCGATATTTGCTTCAGTTGTTTAATATTGTGTAAATGTTGTTTCCTATTTTTATGGTACGATGTGGTATGCTTGGTTAGTATATAAACAGAGTGTGTTTGAAATATAATGATTCATATCTCAGAGGCTGTGACTTTCGTTCTGGACTCAAGTGGCTGGGATAGACAGGGAAGCGGGACCAATCAGGACACTAGGTCGTTCGTACGTATTTCCGTGTCACTGTAACCGATCGATCGATATAACGCTGCGTATCAATAACCTGCACTCACCCGTTACAACAGAAGGACACTTCCGGTGCAAAAGTCGATGAATGAAATATGAGCAACAAGACAATAAAATAGTATATCAGTTACATTTTCATGTAATACACCTTATGTGGTTATCTAACTTTGTTGATTGCACGTTGAGGGTATAAATATCAAAACCAAAGCCCCTCAATGTAAACAAAAGATAACAGTGAGATAGATGAACTTAGTAGGGAAATAGAATAATCGATACGCATATACAAAAGGCTAACTTACCTAGTCGTAGGATACCTAAACCGGTGGTTTGATCAAATCTGCTAAATGCTGCTTGTATATTTTCGAGTGACATTTCACATTTATTGCCCTTCTTTAAAAGGTTAACATTATTTAGTACAACACCTCTCATGAAACATGTTTGTAAAGCTTCAGATCGATCTTTAAAGTTTGAGGTCAGCATAATTAGGTCTAAAACACTTTCTAAAAGTTGACTATAATTATTTCCAGATTTTTTCAAAGAATCTGTGAAATCTTTGGGATAAATAACTGGCAGAAATTGTGAAGATGGATTCAAGCAGGAAATGAGGTAGTTACGTTCTGAACTACTCAGTTCATTTTGAATTATTTCCAGACTGGTTTTATCGACTGGCAGGCTATCATTCGGGCAATTTACAGAACTCATAGGAAAAAATATTCGAGTTGCAAGTTCTGACGCTTGTAAAGCATAGGCTAAAAAGATAGAAACAAGTGTTTTTTCTGATAGCTGAATCCACTAAACATCAGTTGAGTACAAATGTGGCGTATTAATTAAAAAGTTACTTATAATCTCTTGGTTAGAAATCCAAATTACGCAAAATTACACTTCAGCTTGGATAGCCAGGTAGTAGCATTACGCTTTACTAAAAGTGCGTCTAAAAGTACATAACGCTGTACTTTGCTAATAAGTTGCATGGAATTAGATTAAAAGTCGGTTAATTAACGTTCGAATATTATGTTTGCTTTGACGAATACTTATCAATTATGAAGTTTACATTCAATTTATGAAGTAAAGTAACCGGCAATAAGACAATTGTCGTACGTTGAGCAGAACAAGAAACTAGTTGAAAAACGTACAAGAACAATAGTTGTTTCATAGCTTGAAAACATTATTGACTAAAAGTAGTGTGAAAAATTTTGAAAATTATACTTACTGAAGTAACTATTTATTTATTTATTTTAACCCATAGATATTATTGGTACAAGGAGGCACCAAATACATATGCGCCACACAAATCTCATTCGATATGTGTGAGGGCTGTGATACTGCCCGGGTGCCCAAACCGAAGCAGGTGGTTTTCTTAGGGGGCCACTCCCCGAAGTAGCTATAGTAAATGATAGACTGAACAGACAGTATGCGAAATGTTGATAACCTAGTTGACTAAATATCACAAGTTATGAATCATTACATATAGACGCCATCTATAGCCTGACTGTTATTATCTCACCAAAAGCCAGTACTAAAGTACATTGATAGACAGAAATGACTTTTAAGTAAATACACACGGGTAAAACTGAAATACATATTATATGGACAATTATATAATCATGAGTGACAGGGCTTGGAAAAGTAAACAATAAGTGAAATGATCCACAATATAACCTACCTCCATGAACTAGTAAAGTGAGTTCTTTTGCCAGAGCCTTTTGAACTATACGACGATTAGGATGCTTCTATGTTTTTTAAATACAAATTCAAAGAAGATAAATGGTGAAATTATTGTGAATAGTAAACTATCGCTAAATATTGACGAAGGTTATAATTAAGAATATGACTAATATAATTTATTGACCAAGTATAAAACTGTGTACTCGTCTTTGAGTCATCCTATTTGTATGCAAATCAAAGTGGAGGAGAGTTCAAACCGGCGACTCAGTGGATGAGAGCTAACCAATAACATGAAAACTAGTAAAATTATACCAAAACCTCTTTATGATTAGAGTATCATCATAGAATGAAATGTAAACTAGTATCTGACAAAATATGAGTGCTAACTACTTTTAGCCTATACAGTAGATGATTTCACACACGAAGACATTAGCAAATCAGTCCCATAGGGGAACCTACGTCAAGAATTCGATTATGTGAGGAATTATCACTTGGCCACATTTTATCATTCCATATCATTTATTAAACACCATTGGATTCTTTACTTTATCAATCCAAAACTCGCTCAGATCATTAAATCCCATTACATAACAATAATAACCAGCATTAATCCTACGAATTAAAATTATTATGTTTGCGTTTTGTAAATAGCTAATTGACACCAACTAGACAAAATACAAAATAGTCACTCAAAGTCAAAGATGAAAGTCTAAATTTTTAACCTTAAATATCTTTAGAAAACAAGTAATAAGTTTTCTGAATGAAGGTATAGCAAATAACTTACTTTATGGTCAGTCAACAATTGACCTATTTCCTCAGGTCCAAAAAAGGTCAACTGACGAACCAGTTTATCTGATATAATACTATCAGGCAAATTTAAAATCTTTTGGTAGAAATTGTAAGGTTTTAATTTTTTACTCATTAACCATATAGTATCCATTCCACACTCTGAGTCGGAAACAGATTTTCCCAATTTCTGACCAGTTGGGGTAGTCAGCAGAGGAACAGTTAAACCTAATCGATAAAATAATATATTTGGTTGGTTCAAATATTCTGCAATAGATCAGGTTTCATGATTGTCATAAATTATAACTTACATAATACAATGAAAACACCAAGAAAAACAATGATCATAGTCGTAACTCAAGAAACCTAAATCATGCTTGAATTTGAATCAAAGGTATATTAGTTTAATTATTATATGCTTCACTAAACGAATCCCGTAACCTTTCAGTTCAATCATTATCCCTTATACTTAAGTTATGCTTATAATTTAACAATAGCATCTAAACCACGCAAAATATTTTATAAGAGCCTACGTTTAAATTTGAACGAATAGTTCTACCATAGTTGGGTCAAGTGCATGAAAGACGTTAGGATAGTTATATTTGTGAAAACTCAGTGGTTAAGTCAATGACAGCATTAAATAAGTTGAGTAAATTATCATAGTAAATATAAAGTACAAACTGATGAAAAGATGACAGGTATAATGATAATAAACACATGAATATTAAGCAGTGCAACAACATGAACATATATGTCAAGATAGGAAGTACGTCAAAACTCGTGAAAACAAACTTATTAGGTAGTGGTCAACAGAAATAACGTGATATGTATGAAGTATGTGAATAATCAATTCCGCCATGCGAATGGTAAAGAAGTACAAAAAAGAGTAGAAGAAACAAACAAAGGGTGGACAGAATTAGAAGATAGTCTACTTAGTAGCTGTTGGCAAGATCAATTCTTACTACAAAATCTTGAAGGCATTCCATAAATCACTTTGCATATTTTGGTTCCATATACAGTGGTGGATTACATAGATCAACATAAGTAGTCTATAACGGTGGTCAGGCATAGGATGTATTTCAGCAGAAGATCAATAAGGGAAGAACGGGAACAGAAAATAATTAATATGAAAATGCATGAACAGTGAAATCTGAGACGATGAACTGATATTTGCAAAAGAAACAGTAAAGTTTGAGACAACGGAGTCTCCAACCATTGGTTACGATAGTCACGCGGATCACAACCAAGTAGTCTACACCTACCAACATGGCCCGGATCAGGAGTTAGTGACCTCAAGAACTGATGCCACGTTTTGGTTTGGCCTCCCCAGTCAGCATTTTGCGTCGTGGTAATCGCTGTTCAGGCACATGTAATACATGACCCAACCACTTCAGTCGATGAAAATTCAAGACCTCAATATTACTTACTCGGTGATCCCACATGCTGGCAGTATATCTAAGACATCTGTGGTCAAATACCAGTAGCTTACGAACATCTTCTACCCTTAATGACCATGTTTTGCAGCCGTAAAGTAGAATAGGATAAACTGCTGTGCAGTATAGTCGTCCCTTAATTGAGAGACGGATATCTCGCTTTCGCCATAGGTGACGTAAGTTGGCGAAATCCAAACGAGCTTTTCGAATCCGTGCTGAGATTTCGTCAGACACCAACCCATTAGGGCTGATTAAACTTCCAAGATAAGTGAAGTTGTTGACGCGTTCGACTACTTCACTCTCTATCATTAATTCAGATGTTGACGCAGGCCAGTCCTGAAGCAACAGTTTGCATGTAGAGGAGAAACGCATCCCAAACATTCTGGCATTGTTGCTCAGTGCTACCAAAAGACTGCATTTTATCAGCGTCTTCACCAAACAGGACTATATCATGTACGTATTCCAAGTCGATAAAAGAACCTGGTAGATCATTTTATGAAAATTCAGTCGACGAGAACGTAGTAGGTCTATGATAAAATTAAACAAAGATGCAGATAGTGAACAGCCTTGCTGGATACCACTTGCGGTTGAAAAATCATATGACAGTTCGCCATAAGCTCTGACTCGACTGGTATTGCTCGAGTAAAGAGCCTTCACAAGGTTTATGTACTTCTGAGGTACGTCTTTCAATGACAGACACTGCCACAGAATCTCGCGGTCTACAGAGTCAAATGCTGCTTTCAAGTCCAGAAAGACCACCATTGTCGGTCGCCGATAAGTATGCCTGTGTTCTAGAACCTGACGAATGGTGAATATGTGGTCGATGCAGCCACGACCAGGTCTGAAGCCAGCCTGATTTTCTAGTGTTTGCAGTTCACGAGTCTTAGTTAGGCGTGTGATAATTATTGATGCTAGTATTTTAGATGCTATGTTAGCCAAACTAATCTCTCTATGGTTATCACAGAATTATTTTGGCCCTTTCTTATATAGTGGGACGACAAGTGATTGTGTCAGGTGGGATTACGTACAACTCCCAGATTTTAGCTAAAATATTAGTCAACCTAATCGCTAAAATTGGACTACCATCCTTAAGGACCTCTGAAGCCAATCTAGTCAGTCAGTAACAACGTAGAACTTCGTACGTACGTACATCAGTTCGAGTTGCCACACCACCCGTAACAGCACACGAGATCAAGTTGGAGCCAATTCATCTGGACCAGCTGCCCTTCTTCGTTTCAGAATAACCATAGCCTTTTGAACTTCTGCTAGAGTTGGGGGACCTACTTCAATGTTCCATTCACACTGTCTGGGAATGGAGCGTAGTTGTAGAGTAGTCGAAGGCCAGCTGAACTGTTCTTTGAAATGTTCCGCCCATCGTTCTAAACGTCTGAACTGAGAGCAGATGAGGGTGTCGTCTTTTTCAAAAATAGTCTGACTTACACTTGACTTATTAATTCCAGTATCTCTTATTAGTCTGTAGAGCTGTCTTGTGTTCCCTATAGCCGCTGCCTTTTCCATCTCTCTTGCTTTCGTTGCCCACCACTGCTCACGGTTGTTCATTAGACTTTTGGTTAACCTAGATCTGATTTGTTGTCGCTCTTCATCGTGTTCAGAGCCTGATGGGATGAGTTTACGAGAATCCATCAGTGCAATAAACCTTGAGGAAATCCATTGGCTCTTTGTAATTTTGTGGTTTAAATCATTGGTAGATGTCACTGCTGTTTACAAAGCTGTTTGTATATCTTTCCAAGCAACATCTGGGTCAGCCTCGTTCTTAGAACTGCCTAATTGTGACCTCAGATGTTCCTGGAACCTACTTTTGGTTTTCTCGCTACTCAATTCAGTTCTAATGGGTCTTTTTAGTGTAGCGTTTTTGCGTCCAGTGAGGCACGAGCAGATGCGTGCCCGTATTAGAGCGTGGTCGGAGTCCAAGTAGGTATTCCAGAATGAGCGACAATCTTCTACCGACCCCCTCCAACGATGATTGATGGCAACATAGTATATTTGAGTCCGTCGTTGGTTTAGTGAAGGGGTTGCCATGTCAGACGATGTCTCTCCTTATGCTTAAAATTAGTATTTGCTAAAAATAAACGATTGTCTGAGCAAAGCATACGATCGACATTATCTGTTCGCTGAGCCGGAACACTGAAATACCCACCTAAATGTTTCGTTTAAGCTACCTACCTGGGGCATTAGAGTCACCTGCTACGAGTAATATGTCTGAACGTTTAGCTTTCTGAAGAAGTTCAGAAAGCTTTCTGTAAAAGTCATCTTTCACTTCATCCGAGCTGCAGTCAGTGGGAGCGTAGGCAGAAACGACGAAAAGGCAACGACGTGTCTCTATCCTCCCGAGTTCTTACGGAGTCGTTCAGCCGAATAGCACATAGACGACTGTTAATGGGGATCCACTCTAATAATACTTATTTTGCCCTCGTACTTGGTGTTATGCCTACACCTGCCAGTCCACGAGAACTAGCCATCGGGTCACCAGATACACAGAGGGTGTATCTCGTCAGCTCTCCGTTTTGCCGAGGTGAGTTCAAGTGAATGACCACACTAAGATCCTGTATGCGTGTTTCGGAGACAAAACATACATCAATCATACGAGATTCTAAAGTCTCAGCCAAGGAGGCCTGTCGGCCAATTTGACGTAGGGTGTGTACATTGAGGGCTCCAATATGTAGTTTGGAGCGAGGTTTCAGTAGACCTGGGGCAGTGTTTTGCGCACTAGAATCGTTGGCTATGGTGACACTTGAAGAGGAAGCCAAAAGAGGAAGTTTAGAGTTAAAAGTCGATGTAGGAAGAATGATAAGAATTGAAGAGGGAGGTTGATTAATAATACAATGGTGTTGAGTGTTGTTTGAAGCATGAGGGTGGTTATCACTTCCCGGTTGCCCACACCGTGGAAGGGTTTTTCTGGGGGTACCTGAAAAGCAAATTGAATCAAAGATGGTCTTAGAGACCTGAGAAAATGACCGCAATGCCTAAGGGACAACTCCTTGAGGTCGGTCACACACGACCTTTTTGTGGGTAATTTTCTTAATAGCTTTGTACTTGTTGAGACCTTACCGCCGGAGACGGATATCCGTGGGATAAGGTGAGGTGTGGATTTTTGGGGTCGACATTTTCTAACCCCACCCCTCTTTGTGGGGAGGCGACGTCGCTGTTATTCTGCCTGTCTGAAGGAAACACCTTACTGCTGTCACACCTCTGTACAGTTAGCAGTACGACTTCGCCTTCGGACCTTGGGTTTGTTGCTTTTAATCTGACCATTCTTCAACCGACCTGTCTGGCATGGTAGAACCTTGAGGAACGATTGTTCCAGCCAGTACAGCTCGATCGGTTCATCACGATAGGCAAGCCCGACCACCAGGCCAAAGTAGCAACAACGGTCGGGGTAAGGAAATTCCGCTTACGTCAAGTTGAACGCACTGCTTTATCGGCGAGGGAGTGTTGTTAACGTAAGTGGAAAGACGAGAAGTGAATGTTCGAGACTTAAACCAAGTTATTGGATGCAAAGGATTAATCTAGGGGATTTGGTAAACCATGACTCAAAACCAATGTTGTATATGGGCCCCATCATCCTAAAAAAAATCTATTTTGGTCACCAGTTACCATGAACCCAGTGCAGCACTGGGTTGTGGATTAAAATACTTGGTCAAAGACTTGAGGATTGATCCCCTACCAAAACTATTTGCTTCGGTTCGGTCTCCTGAGGAAAATCCCAACCCATTCACAAATGTGACAGTCGTGAAGAAAATACGGTATTCGCTGTATCATCACTTATTCAGACGAAATAATATATTTATTTTATAAAGCATCGACTTGGTTACGTTTTGTTTCCATCCTGTAATTACTTTTATTGTTCAACTGACACTAACTCATTCGAGGTGAAAATTCTGTCCTGTCCTAACAGCCTCAAGTTGCTAACTGGCTTCATCTGTGATATTATTCAGCAACTTCCCTAAGTATTAACGTCGGGTCCTGGTCGAGACGATGTGACAATCGTGTACAAATATTAGCAAACCTTTCAGATTGAATAATTGACTAATGTCAGTTCTGAAGAGAACCGGTTGTATTAGAGAAGCTAAATCGTTTTCGTTCTTAAATCTGTAACATCGTAGGCTGCACTGAATCCCAATAACAAGACAACAATTGGCGACAGAGATGGCTGTTTAACGTGTTGCTGATAAGCTTGAACGCCTACTAGAACAACAGCTCAAACTGATTGAGATGTTATCTGATACCCAAATCGCTAACAACTCAACACCACCAACCTCGCGATAACAACAATAATATTGCTGGGTTTACTTATGACCCATCATCAAATGCAACATTTGACGCTAGATTTCGTTGCTACAAAGACATAGCTAATGCTGATTTCGAGGATCCAGAAGACTCTTCGTCAGACCTTAGGACACATGCATAATTATCGGCGCATCTATATCTGGTGCCCCCTTGTACCAATATTTGTGTTTAAATAAATAAAATAAATATCGGCATCCGACAGTCATAGCATTTCTTGAATTAAAAGCATCATTTGATTCTGTAGACCGCTAGATTCTGTGGCAGTGTCATTGAAAGGCGTACATCAGAAGTACATAAACCTTAAGGCCCTTTACTTGAACACTACCAGTCCAGTCAGAGCTTATGGTGAACTGGTATTTAAACTTATTACAACTTTTCATCACATTAAGTTTCTCAAGTCAAGCAGCTTAGATCCTGTTTAGTTTGGGAATTTTTCGTGATACCAGTACTGGTACTATCGTCATACAATCCGCATTTATTTGACTTCAGTTTGCTGGGAAATTAAGCACAGGAACTTATACTGTTATTATACTAAGTTATAAGGTGTTTCTATCTGTTTAAAATGTTGCGTCTCTTCAGACTTGAGTGAACAGAAAACGGAGAGGAGTTACGATGACTGATTGTTATCAGTAAATAGAAGAAAAAAATGTGATGATAGTACACAATAAACAGTTGGTCACAAATAAGCTACACTGGTACGAACGAATATGATAATCAAACTCATTAGAAGTAATACCAGTATTGAAATAAAATGCAAAGTACTCTCTGAACAAATACACAGCATTAGGAGGGATTTCACTTACCAAAAGCACGCCGACCAAGTTTGCGATAGATCAGGTTTAATCCACAAGTTATGTTGCCGATCTGATCGTGCCCACCAACCTATAATAAAGCTTATTCGAACTTAATGATATATACCTGCACGTAACAATTAAACTTTTCATGTAAGTATAGGAAGTCTATTGCTTGTACGATTGGATAAAAAAATTCCCCAAGATCCATAGTATTTCCACTTTCCATTCTTATTTTAACGCTAGAAAATGTGATCAGAAAGAGTTAACATAAACTGATACGTCATTAAGTATGGGTTAGAATAAATCAGTAATCATTTTTAAGGGAGTGGAGTAATTTTTGGTTGTTCTTACTTAAACTATAGCATTCTATACTTTGATTTTTAATATGGACGATTCTTTCTAATTTCCCGAAATGACCAACACACTAGCCGCGCGATAACAGAGTATACCATAAAGATTCATTAGGTAAAATCACCATAAAAAGGGACATGACGCAGTTCTTCTGCATTACCTTGTAAGATACTGGTAGGTAACTTACTTAGGACATTGGTAATAACTGTGTTCTATCCGCATTCATCTCTCCAATATTTTGTGAGTTGAATATTATGCTGACAAACCCATAATTTAGTTCTTTCTCAGCCGACTTTTAGGATAGAAACAGAAATACACTTATTTGGAATACACTTCGCAGTACACCAGCCGTTAATTGCCGTCGTAAAACTATAACACCTTTGACCATATGTGTTGAAACGGTTGTCACCAAGTGACATCAAGAATAACATGGGGAAATTTATTACGTTGGTAAAAATGCTAGACTGACTTTGGGAAGACCCAACTACTTGTTAGGGTCAAAGGAGGATTATAAACTAGTGTGAGAAACTAGAGGGTCCTCATCATGAACTACAACCAGCTGTAATGCCGAGATGCTCCATATCCATATTTATGAATGAATTTCAGACCGAAATCCAGGACTTTCTTGGATCTGATTGGTTTGTTTACAAATTATGGTCGCACTGACCCGTCCATATACAATACAAGGTTAGTATATAATATGATCTTGAATCTGAGATTACATTAAACTGTTAAAATAAAAAAATACAAGTCTTTAGAAGTCCCTGATAAGTTGTAGAATATATTAGACTCGGCACTACACTACAAGTGTATAGAAAAAATCAAATATTTTCGCAGTGTCCACCTCCACAATCAAAGGTGCTAGTTGAAGGAAATCGTGACCTACACTGTTTTACAGATGGGTGAGTGTAGGGCGCTCGGTTGGAAATAAAACTATGCCATGCTATAAGATACAGAAGTAGTGTAACGAAATATATTTGTCACCATACAGGTTCATTTTAACAGGTCCAATAATAAATACATATATGATGGATGGACCAACCTTTCTTTTTCCAACAATTCAGACAACTTGAAGTGCGGCAAAACTTCACACGAAACGTCCATCACTTTTTTGTGAGTCAGCCATTCGGAATTGTTAACGACATTAACTGAACCTAGCTTTCCAGAAATCGATAAAGCTGGGACAATTTGTGTCCAGTAATTATGGATTATCTGATTCAGACTGTGCTCTATAAGACTGGAATTGGAAGAATACTGTTCCAAGGATTGGTATTCACGTTTTTTAGTTCTGCCACTAGGATCACCCAAGATACTAGTAGATCCACCAACCTTGAGAAAGTTATATAACTTGAAGAAAATGACATACAACTGCAACTATGTCTTTGCCAGATAAATGACAACGAAGCAAACCACAAACAGCCACAAGGTTTCCCAACTGTAGGCTGTCACATGTGGGGTCGAATCCAGCATAAACAGAGAAGTTTCCTGTTGTTTCAAGGTTTAACAAGTATTTTTCACTTGAAATCTATTCTGTTTACATCATTTGCAAAAATACCTCTTATTTGGCAGAATTTCTGAAAAGTAGCCATTTTTTAGGTAGTCACTAATCCTGTTTTGCAGGTGGTAATTCCTAAGCACATATCCGACAAAACACCCCCTTCGGGACACTAGGTGTAACGCAAACATCAAAATTGTTTGATTCAATCACCTGCCTTTCTTAGACAAAAATAGTGATATTTAGGTTCTTCTTCAAAGTTGTAAAGGATCGATCTTAGCTGAGAAAATCTTTGATTAACGTGTTGATTCTTCGAATTCCTAAAAAGGATAATTGAAATCTAGAGGATAGTGTAAGGGATTCCTGCTAGCCATTTTCTTATGACTCTCTTTGAGTGTCTAGTTTTTAGAATGAACAAATTGAAGGCTCTCACACCACTTGTATTGGTTTTAAGTTCCAGAAATTTATTATTGGGGTAGAAAAACCTGCACAACCTTCGAATTCCCCTGTAATGTCCGCCAAGTTGCCCTGATTCTGTTGAAAGGAAGATGGGGGACGTGTGAAATAGACAACGGCTATGGGCCATCGCCCGATCATAAATAATTTGGCTTTTAGTGTAGTGGAGGATAGTGTAAAGAGCCTTAACCGCTCACATCACTCTGTTTATGGTGATTTATGCAACTGCTGAATTCCGAGGTTGGCAGTTCCCTGTGCTTTTTCAAGGAACTTTGGAAGGGTTCTATGAGGGATCTGTGGAGTTTATCTGATGTTTTTAATCCTAATCTCAATAAGGCCGCCTAATCAAAGGTATATTTAGTGAAAGCTCTTCTAGACACCAAAACTCTCGTGAACCCGCAGCAATGCGATGTGTATTATATCATGATTATTATTATCTTTTCACCCATTTCATATTGAATGTTGGAGTTTGACCTATGGTTCGAATACATTTTCCTCCACAGCTGTTGTTCATTCATAAACATTTTCAGGCAAAGTAGCAGTGGAAAATAAATACTAACTGTTAGTCTTTCAAGAAAGCACGACAGCTACGCAATTATCAGCAATTAACCTGTAATATAATACTGAACTCATATTCACGAGAGTCGTATCGATTTAAATGTAAGAAGTCATTGTTGAGATCGCTCTCACGTAAACCTTTCTGATCGTAAATAATTCTGAGTATCCTGAGGTAGCAGAACATTCAAATTTGAGGAAGTAAACCTGACGATAGCTTATGATTTGTTGAAAACTGAATATCGATAGAAAGCTATACCTTGAGCGTCTTAAACAGTGAATTAACTGGATTTTATACACTTATGGATACTCGATAGTCCTTGAAGATTACATGATCTATATGTTCATTTTCTGATGAGATTATTTCATTAGTTCTGTAACAGCATAGGTGTTTCTAATAGCTAGGTTAATCGAACCGACGTTCCTACGGAAGTCGATTCTAGGGGGAAGCTAATGTAACAGCATAAGTTGGTTGGTTAAGAGTTAACCTCAAACAACCAAGCATATGCCAAAACAGCATTAGTCAAATAATCATTCACTTTCTTATTTTGCACAGGCGTTATATTTTCTATTATCTTATATTGAATGTTGACAGGTTTTGTTTGTCTGGACAAATAATCCCACGCTCCACTGTGACTGCGCTAAGATCGAAGTAAAGACCCATTCACTACTTGTCTGGTTTCTTCTATCAATAGCACGAGGGTTACCTTAAGTCACGAAAGTTTTTTTGATGCTTGAAGCTGCATTATGTTGGCTGGATAGCTATACATTATTCATACATGAATCTACTGAACTAACCCATAGTTTTATACCGTCTGACAAAAAACCGAATCAAAAATGTCTGCGTTTTTAAGCATTGTGTGTACGGTCTACTTCCGTACAGGTTTGTATGTGTTTTCACGCTAATACATGAAAGTCCTCCGTTTATGTGTTTCATATACCTAAAACCCTTTGCCCATACGGCAAAGTGTAAGTTTAATATTTCAACCCTCTCATTCTCGTTTATCGTTTGATTTCAGTTTTCCATGGTAATGTTGTTAATCACTTTGATTACAACTTCTATTTTCCTTACGTCTCACTTATTTGTGTGGTGCTCACAAATTATGTTATATCAATTTTCGCTTAACCTTTAATCTTGGCACCTGCCATCATGGTTTCTGGTAGTTGATTACACTCTTTAAACTGAACGTCGAGATCTATACGAAAAGTACTAGAGTGTTGTTCTCTGATTAACAGGGAAATCTTTTTATTGTCATTGATTATAACTTTGTGTTCTTTATCAGTTTGCCTACTTCATATATTGTAGATTGATTTATTCAATGTTTCTGAGCAACTCTGTGAACTGCCTAGCCTGGTGACGTTGTTCATCAAGCTGAACATACGCAATACATATTTGTAGTTTTTGTCATTAGAATCGAACCCAGTAAAACTGTTACATTTTCCGACAAATATATAACGTTTAGCTGGAAGAAATACGGAATATAAAAGGCATCACTCTGAAATGCAAAATTAAGTACTGAAACACAAATACATGCAGTAGTCAGTCGAAGAACATAAAAAGAGTGATAGAGTGTGTAAAGACCGAAATTCCAGTATTTGGTCTGAATATATGGCAAACGAATCAGAGTTTATTCGATTAAACTGGGATACGTTCTTCAATAATAATGTACGAAGCGTTTTTGAGTGACTCGCAACAAAGTATATCAAAATGTAAACTATATACTCAATTTAAGCTCCTGTAAATAAGGAAAAACACAAATTATGTCAAAATTCAAAATACCCCAAACAGTATAACCTGTACTATACATCGAAGATTTCTGTAGTACAAAATAACGTGCGAAACAACAAAAGAAATAGGTAATCTGTAAATACTTGCTATCTGAGTCAACAGGACTCAATGAGATGGGATCAAACTATTCGAACAATCGTACCCGGCAGACGGTTACAGGTCAACAATCACCAACGAAATCATGCCGTAACCCTAAGTTTAGCAAAACTTGGCTCCATCGTCAGTGACTTAGTAACCTGCAGCCATAAATTTAAGTGAGAAAAATTACTACAAAAACGAAGTAAAACTATAAAAGCCTGGACAAGAGACCTCGATGAATTTTAAATCACAACTAAGGGAAAGAGAACGGAGAGTTTACAACAACTTTCTAACGAACATTCTGGAGGGATTTTCAGCGTATTTTTTCTTTTACAGAGAGTGTAAAGTTCTCTTCGATACGTCCATGTGCAAATACGTGAGAAATCCGTCTATGTATGCTTTTCCGGGCGAATATTAACTTGTCGTTCTATCGTATTTATTACTGCTCCTGTTGTTATCTGAGTTAAAATTGACTGTTTGGTGTTTTGGAGTCCTATTAACTGTTTGTCTCTGCCTGCTTAGCACTTTTGTGATAGTCACCATATCGGATTACTATATTTTCGTTGTTACTCTTAGTAACTGCTAATTGCTTATCTTTGAGACGAATTTAATCGAACTATCTTTTTAGAGTATGATATTGTCCCTTGATTGATAGAACTATTCTCCCTATTGTGATTATTGAACCTTACCAGGTGTCTTTACCAGATGGAAAAAGTGCCGCTTAGCAACTTTTCTGTGCTAATTCGGGCGACTATTACATAATTATGAGGAAGGTATGAGCTATTATTGTCTTTTGAATTACTGAACTCAAGTAAACGGAACTACCAAGATATAAACTGCACAGAAATGATGAAGCAGTCTAATTTTGGATCTAACATTAACGTTCACTTTTACAGTGTAAACCTGATACTGAATTTATCAAGCAAGTACTTAGTTGATGGATTATTGTTGTTTACTATTTGAATTCTGGGTCAAGGACAAACAATTTTTAGTCATTTTGTTCATCAATGATTTTCTGTTGAGTTTGCATCGTTATTTCGATTAGCACAGTGACTGAACATGTAGTATTAGTCTTCGTTTAGAAAATTCTGAGGAATTTAGTATATAGTTCATTAAATTTACTTACCCCTAATACCATCGGTTCAGATCTAATTCGTATTTGGCTAGTGGATTTTTCAAATATATGTGGATTGAACTATGCACGAGGAATTTGATTAAGAATATACACAACACGCTGAGAAAAAGACGCGAAATACGAGTGTGATAAAACATGTGTTGTACACTTAGAGCTATATGCCAATGTCAGACGCTTGTAACTGATTTTCATGTACCAAAACAAACTGTGACCTGAGTTTTAATTTCACATGTGAGCTTACTAAATCTCCAGTTGCTTCACATTTATTTTGCTGATAATTATCGATTACCTCTTTCGTAGAATATTTGGCTCATGGCCTTCAACTTGCACCACATATACTTTCTGAGCTTGTGAGTAACTTTTGGTTGTTTGTACTCTTAATTATTTTCGATATTAGCTTAAGATATATCTACTTTTTTGGAGACAAATTAGAACATGAGGTTAGTTTGAAAAATCTCATTTGTTAAAAAATACACCGTGTAATCCTACCGCACATACATTTGACAAATCACTTGTACACGAAGACTAGCAAAACAGTCAATTGAAGAGCCGAATAAATATGAGGTGATAATGCTAACAATGGATATGGGAGGTAGCATGATGTAGAAGGAATACGAGTCTTTCACATCGATTGATTGACTTCAATCGCTTGATTTTATTTGGCTCACAGTGAGGCAAACAAGGTTTGGAGTTAAGTCTCCCATGATGAAAGCGATTTGTAGCTGGATCGACAGCCAAGTCGTTGTTCAACGGTATCCCATTAAAGTTGAAAGCTGTCGCTTTAATTAGTAGTTTAATTTAGGTCCACAGCAAGGACGTTTTAGAGCGAAAGTAAAGGAAAATATGTTTTCTATAAATACTACCTTTATTAGCATGGGACTTGTTATTTAAAAGGTGATTGATAGATAAAGAAAACTTTCCAGAAGAAACTACTGTTTTGTTCGCCAAACATCAACGTTTTCTCTCTTCCTCTCAAACGTCGTACTCTTTTTTCCAGCAGGTGTACGTTACCATGCTTTCAGGCATCTAATGAGTTCATGTTTTGAGGTTGGAACATTGTCTATAACACACAGAAAATATTTTCCAACAATCTCTTAGTCATGCTTATGCGAGACTCGTAGATAAAGATTTTGTGAAATATCAATGGTAATGTATTAGACATCCGTTGGTTCCTAAAGCGTCTACGCAC